CATATGGGCAGAATTCATTAAGTCTGGCAAAATGAGCCAATTGTGGAGGTGGCAAGAGTGAACGTTTGTATGTCTAATAGGCAAATACTCAACTGCATCCGAGCTCAAGTATTCCACAGCATATAAATATTCAGAATACAAATATCCTGTGTGATAGCTTCATCCGGAGTAGTTCCACTTGATGAAGCAGATTCGAGGCCTAAAAAGTGGGCAAAACAAAAAATCCTCTTTGGATGGGCAGTGATTGAGCTGTTAGATGCACGGCCTGTGTGTCCTTGAGGTCTTTTGCTGCGCATTTTCAAATGTCAGGAGAGCGCGCCGCGTCTCAGAAATAAACCCAATCACAATCTGTAAATGTTACAACTGTTTCCCTAATAAACGTGCACGCACGTCGGAGGCCTCCATTGAAATTCACACACATGAACCAACATGCGACTAAACTGAATGCTGATCGACACGGCCCGGCTCATGTTCAACACGCAGTTGCGCAATGCATTTGATGAATTAAACAGAATTCAGCACGACCGTGTCGTAGCAAACGGTCTCCTTGAACCCGCGCTGTCCTCATTAGATCCCCCTCCCCCCCCACTTTAAAGAGCAGTTTGAACAAGAGCCAACTTACATCTATTCCTGTCCGTCCAATATAAAGGTATAATGTATGCTAATCCACCCGGTGTCAATAGGAACTGTGGTCAATGCATTTGAGATAATAGTGAAGAAGGGGTTGCTCCTATCGAAGAGCTACAAGATAAAGTCAATGGCGCAGTCAATAACAATAAGGTTGTGGGCCTTAATGAAGAATGTTAATTTGAACACAATCAACTGGATTTCAGCTTAGCTGATTATCAACCTTGGACTTACTTGTATGAGGGTGTTGATAATGACGGCTGTAGAATGGATATTTTTGCCCCCCCTATTTCAGTAGGACTTTTAAAACTCCCGGTGAAACTCCAAAAATGTACCCAAGTCAGTGACGTAAAACGCAGCACTGTTCACTTACTCGTGAACTTTATGTAGGAAATGCAAGACAAACTGTACAATATAAACAAGTTAAGAAATACAGTAAACATTCTGGATCACACAAAAGTTCGGATGATTCACGTCGCTGGTTTCTCAGTCCCCACCGGACGCTATTCAGTCCGGACTTTGTGCTCAAATTGTGGGTTATGAAGCCTGCTCGTCATTCTCTCCTTGATCCCATTCCGTGAGCAGCTCCGAGGACACCTCTGTAAACAGATGATCCCAGTCCCAGAGCACATCTTCCTGCAGAGCAGCCCAAGAAGAATTGGGGGCAGACAGAAGTGCAACCGAGAAAGAGAAGAAGATGAGGAGAAGGGAAGACGGATGAGGCTGTTCATGTACACATCATAAATCTTGATTAACTGGGGGGCAGGTGGACAACAGCTGCACAGTTCTTTGGTGGGAAATCAGAGACGATATTTACTGAAAAAAATCCACTCACCTCCTTCACCTCCTGCTCTGGTGCTAAAACCTTTGTGAGAAGCTTCAAGTCGATCTCTCCGTCCTGAAGAAACAGCCCAGGAAAGAGTGTTAAAAGGAAAACACAACTGATTGCCTCGACAAGTCAAGATAAGACAAGGTTCCTACTTACGACTAACTTAGCGGTGAAGACTTTTTAATTCCATTTGAAATTACATTTTACAGACAACTTCAAAATGTTCCCGATAAAATGTGCATCTGCTCTTAAAGGTCTTGACTAAAACCTCATCACGGTTTAGTTGGCTCCACTGTCGCAAATGTGTTACGTTACCACGGGGGGATTCAGGAAGTTACTTTTTTTAACATCAATTCATTTTTTTTTTTAGCATCATAAAACCCGACTTATCTTGTGTTTTTTTTTTTTACTTTGAAAGGCTGATTCAAGACATTTTTAAGCCAATTAAGGAACCCTGTAATAAGAGAACATATATATAGAGAGACATTGAAGTTGCTGACTTACGAGAGTCTGGAATGCAGAGTAATATTTCAGATCGTTGTCCAGGTCTCTGTAGGTCATTACCCGGTTGACTTGAACACTAATTACAGGACATAAAGCGACAAAATTTGAACCAAGATATCTATATTTCAATCAACTTCATGCAAAACACGTGTATTTTTAAGCCAATTAAGGAACCCTGTAATAAGAGAACATATATATAGAGAGACATTGAAGTTGCTGACTTACGAGAGTCTGGAATGCAGAGTAATATTTCAGATCGTTGTCCAGGTCTCTGTAGGTCATTACCCGGTTGACTTGAACACTAATTACAGGACATAAAGCGACAAAATTTGAACCAAGATATCTATATTTCAATCAACTTCATGCAAAACACGTGTTCGAAGAAGAAAAGTTGGTATGCGTGTTGACTTGAAGCAAAGGAAGAACAGAAAGCAAGAGACGGTTGCCAACTGCTAAACGTCTCAAACTGAAACCCAGCTGCTTATCTGCGGGTCAGAATTAAGTGAGGGGGCTCTGAAAGTGGCCGGGGCCTCGCAGCGCATGCCAGTCCTACTTATTGCACATTATACGCTACATTGCCCCTGCAATGAGTTCAATGTGGATATTATCTCGCATAGAGAGCGAGCCCCAGCCTAATAACCTCCACCGCTGCCATAGCCTCGCTACATATTCGACACATGTCGCCGTGCATCTCACTGCCCTGTAAATCAAAGGACCTGTTTGGTAAAGGACCCGGTGTAACACAGTTGCATAAATCATACCCTACCGTTATTCCTCCATCACAGTCAGATCACATGACACACTCAGTGGCAAAGGCAAGTGTGGAGGACGTGTGATCGTCTCATCGTTCAGAGTAAGCCACTTCACTTGTGACCCTGTATGTGGATACGGGCGAAAACCCGGTCTCTGGGCCTACCTCGGTGGAGCTGCTACTTGCATGTTGAGATCTTCTTCCTGCACTTCATCCAAGTCTGGAATGACTGGAATATCTAAAAACGCAACACAATGGAAGAATCTTGAAATGAATACAAATGTATGTAATGTACCGTATTTTCCGGACTATAAGTCGCAGTTTTTTTTCATAGTTTGGCCAGGGGTGCGACTTATACTCTGGAGCGACTTATGTGTGAAATTATTAACACATGATTATGTCATTTCACGTTATTTTCACATTAAACCACAAGATGGGCGCTCTCTGCCTGAGTTGATAAATCGATGATGAGTCTGACATAAGCGACGTAGAAGAGAAAGCGGCGCATCGTCTACCTCCCGAGTTGGGGGAGTTGTTTAAAAGTGACACAGAGGATGAAGATTTCATTGGATTTATTGATTTGGAGTGAAACTGATAGTTTGGTAAACTTGTTAGCATGTTCTTTATGCTAGAGTTATCTGAATAACTCTTAAAATGTTACGTCGTTACTGACATTACCAGCCATGTCAGTCATGTAACGTTAGTATACCGTACACTCATTCAGCCTGTTGTTCTCTATTATATTTTTATTTTAAATTGCCTCTCAAGATGACATGTATGTTTTTGGTGTTGGATTTTATCAAATAAATTTCCCCAAAAAATGCGACTTATACTCCCGTGCGACTTATATATATTTTTTCCTTCTTAATTATGCATTTTTTTGGCTGGTGCGACTTATAATCGGGAGCGACGTATCATCCGAAAAATACGGTATGTATTTTGGGAGTGTGTTTCAGGTGCGGCAGTTCCTCCCCTCCCTCTCTGCCGCTCATACGAGCGGCCCTGTCACAAAAGCCATGCGGCCATGAATATTCAGCGAGTGAGGCGGCAGCTCTTCCCGCTGCGAGAGGGGCTCTGGCCAGTGGCTCCCCAGTAAGCACCCCCTGCTACCTTAGCATTTGGGCCCTGTCAGCGCTGCCCACCCCGAGGACCCGCGGTAGTCGGTGGGCCGACCTCCGTGTCCACTCTGCCACTCCGACTGGGGCGGGCTCCAGCCACACGCAAGAGTGTTTGCTCGCGAGCCCATCTGTGTGGGGTCGGATGTCACCACGAGGCCTGGCAGGAGCTGCGGAGCGCAGAGCCGCCAGCCCGCTGCTCAAACAGTGGGAACCCGCTTTAATTGGCAAAACGCAACAGGAGCGAGGATGGCTCCACTCCCAAGAAGGACAAGACAAACTTTCGCAGCATTCCGCTTCGACATTTGTTTGAGCAGGAACATTTGAGTGGAGATAATGAGACCGAGAGAAAGACAAGATGGAAATGAGCTGTTGAAGTGCCTGTGCTTGTATTATCAAAAGGTTAATTTGTTAATTGTTGTCATAATATGCAGCGGAACCTCGATTTAACAGAATAATTGTGGCAAATGACTCGCGCCTAAAATTTTTTTTAAAAATAAACAGCCATAGATATGAAAAGGGAGAAACAACACGCTCTTTTCGAGCTGCATGCTTACGACAATGCTAAGCTAATGTCCATGCTTTCCATTATCTTTGATGGGAAATTCGCTCCTGCTAACATGGCTGCTATGTATAGTACCAGACAAATGTTTGTAACCTTCAAATTCAAATGGTCTCAAACACATTAGGAGGTCAAGAAATTCAAGTTGTTAACTCTTGATAATGTTCAGTTGTGAACTGAAAGTCACTTCCAGGTCATAAGAAATCATCCACATCATAAAACTGACTGAAAAAATATCAAGATGTGTAAAACTAATATCTGGGCAAAAAAATCCCAATTATAAACATTCCGTTTTGAAAAACACATTTCCTGTTTACCTATAATTCCATCAACACTACGACTTGGCGACTGACTGTAGACCAGTTCAGGGTATAGTCTACCTTGCGCCTGAAGTCAGCCTGGATAGGCTCCAGCAACTCCCCGTGACCCCGTTCAGGATAAACAGTGTTGAAAATGGATAATTCTGAGGACAACTTCTGAAGTTTCCTTGTCAACTTGGGTAGGTAAGAGAATGACCCCACCCCCTTGATAATTTCTTACTTTCTCTTTTTTTTAATTAAACGAAATTAAAAATGCCAAGCTCGTTTATCCGCTGACAAGATTCATCTGTGTTTCTGATATCCAAATAAATGCAGGCGCGGGTATTTCATATTCATGAGGCCCCGGTGACACTTTGTCCTCTCATTTACAAAGCACAGCGTTCAGCAGAATCCGTCCCCCCTGGACCCACAATCAAATTTAATGGTCTTAGTGCAATGACATCAAAAAGCCTCGCCATCCGGCTCCTTACAAATAGCATCCTGGCTTGTCTTTCTGTCCACACCCACTCTGACACCACTTCAGCCAGAAATGCACGATATGTGAAACATACTGTTGTCTATGCAAAATGTGAGACACACTGGAAACAGACAATATTTGGAAACGAGCTGCACGTTCAATCTCGAGTAGAGATCAAATAGGACAAGAGCCCAGGCAAGCTCCATCATGAGGAGCCCTCTCCACGCCCACCACCAACTGTACACACACACACACACACACACACACACACACACACACACACACACACACACACACACAACGTGCCTGATCACATCAGGGCTGTTAGCGAGCGGCCTGAGCAGATCCTTTTTACATGATCACCTTCTTTGCTGAAGCATGTAAATATTAGGAGGGTAGACCTGCTGGCAGGCACACACCCGTCTCAGCACATCGGCCGAGCCTCTTACGACGGACATAGGGGTCCAGTCAAACGATCAGCTAAGCGTAAAATCCATTTTGAAAAGGGTTATGGGATGATATTCAACACATCAGCGGTTCAGTGTAAGACAGTGAGACATGAAACAGATGATTGTGTTTGCAAGTAGCGCTGCTATTTGAAGCGACCGTCGGGAAGTGGCGGGGGCAGCCGATGGGGCGATCGGAGCGGCGACCTGGACTCCCCTCTTTCCCCCAGCCCGTAGCCAGTGGACACATGGGATAAGCGTCACAGACATAATCAAGATGGTAGGGGCTATCTCGCTACCCCTCAGCACTGTAATTTCCAATGGCCCCTGCCTCTGGCTCCATTTTAAGAGCTTTCTCAACACAGTGAAATCTTCCTTCTGCCGGTATAAGAGAACTGAAACTCAATGTGAAAAACCAAACAGTGAAAGCAATATGTGAGGTAATTTATATTGATTATCAGAGAAATCAGATACTCAACGGTTCGGCAACAAGCAGCAGCAAAGGCAGTGTTTGCCCCCCCCCCCCCAAAAAATGCTCAAAATCTTTGTCTGCATGCCACCATGTCAAGGGAATGAGCAATCGCTTTGATTGGCCATGATTGAAGTTGGCTGTGATCACTCCCACAACGGTGCAGACTGCTCTCTCTCATATCCACTGGTCTGCGCTCATCTGGGACATTATGAACACCGGGTCTAACTCACCTCCAGTGCCGGGTTCCACCGTGCACCACTCAAGATTTATGTTGTTCACCAAAGTAGAGCCCATAAAGTCTTTATATTAATCTGTTTCAGACCTTGTTAAATAACTGTTGATAATTATTCTGAGAAAATTAACATATTCAGTGTCTTCACATCATACCCCAGACCGAACAAGCAAATTTGTTATGTCACAAGAGTGCATTACATTAGGAGTCCTTCGCATTAATTAGTAACCAAGAAGTACGTCTCACTTTCCAAAAGGTTGCTGACCCCCTGTAGTGGATAGGAATTGACTCCAAACACAACCAAAATGTTAAATGAAATACAATACTGCGAGATCACTGAAAATCTACAATAATGGTCTCACTAGCAATTTTTACACACACTTGTCTGTCTCTATCATATATTGAGAGTTATTAGATGCAGGTACTGTGTTCAACAAATTTTCCTCGTGAGATCCATCTTGAGAATGCGCAATGTGCTGCGCATGTTAGCTGCCGCAATCAAAGCTGCACGTGTTTTTACTTAAACGACATTACGGAATAGAATCTCTGTAACTCCATCAGAAGTGTCAACTCTATTTAGGCCCAATGATTCGTTGTAGGGCTTTTCGGTTATTTTCACAGTTCAGCCCAGCCCAGACATTTGTTTGTATTGCACAGAACTGGACTCTCAGGTGAGTCGGTCAAAGCAGAAACGTTCCTAGGAGATCTGTTTGTGTGTGCGCGTTGCGTGTGCAGCGATTAACTTTGTCGTTCTTGGGATTCTGGGGGGGAGGGGCGCTGACTGAATTCCCTCAACACTATTCTGCGTCCAACAGGGGATCTAATTTTGCTTAATGAACATGTTCATGTTTATCAAAAGGCGAGTGGTTATTTAGAAGACGTCAGTGGTCAGAGTCAGCGCTCTACGTTCACATAGCATCCAAGGAGAAATGTCGCCGCTCCAATCTTGACGGCCCGCTTATCTGCACTATTGCTCAGAATATATGTGCTGGGGAGTCACCGGAGGGTTCCTATCTTCCTGTGAGGAGAGACACAGGGTGGGGGACTGTAAAGGGGCACTTACCTCCATCATCATCTGATCCTGGGGGAGTTTGTGGTCTCAGCCGGCGGCTGTAGAAACAGAGAGCGTGGGAGTAGTCATTATGGAATACTTTCTAAATGCAGCCTAAATAGTGAGGGCATCTTACATACAGGGAGATTTGGTTGCTCAAGTTTTTGTTGCCTCTCCTTCATTGAAGCTAAGCAACTTGCAAGCTACCCTTGAGCGACTACTATGCACTCTGGACGATCAAATACGCTGCCCTACAAAGGATTGTTTCCAAGAGTTCTTTTTGGTTTTTCATATTACTAAGACAAGACAGAAGCCGTGCACGATCTTTGTTTAGGCTGTGAACTGGGCCAATCTATTTTATACCCTTTTAATAGAGAGTGCCAGCTGCCACGATGCCTCAAAAATAGATGCCTGCATGCATCCTCTACCTGCTCTCCACATGACCACGTCTATTCTGGTCACAGCTTCACTGTTAGTCCAAGAATAACAGCAGCGCTTGGCTCCGCACAGCAATAAAAGTGATGACAACTCAGTCATGCTGGTTTTTTTCAATCATGTTAAGTGATTGTTCTTGGAAGGTAAGGATTAGGTGCAACCAAGGACAGGCTCGATGAGCGCCAATTCCACTTTACTCCGCGGGAAACATTTACATTTAAAGGTCTATGTTTATCCACGCACAAAAAAAATGTAACTCTCATTGAATTCAATCAGCAGAACTCGGAACTATGGATGACAAAGTGGCTGAGTCAGCTTACTCTTCCAGGTCGTCTGCAGCTGCTCTTCTTGAAGATCTGTGGATGTGCAGAAAGTACAACAAATTGTAAGGCACTGGTCATTTAACAATTGTATTTTCCTTCGGTAAAATATCATATGTATTTTATGATAGTAATTCGGATCGCAGCGTGGTCAGCGACAATTGTGTCTCACTGCTTTTCTCTACTAACTCTCCTGCTGAATTATTCCGCAGTCAGCCCCAGGTGTCTATGCTTTTAAATTCATGCAGGTTAAAAAAAAAAATCTTACTTGCCCCATATCTACAGTATTATAAGAAAAAAATTTATCTATTCGTCCAAAATCCCTGTTCTTGCACTGTACATTCTTCTAGTAATTTTTAGTAAGCTACTTTTGATTTCTTCAATTTTAAATGTCTTTCGATCGCATCTCAACGATTTTAAATGTTGTGCTTTTAATTATATGAAGCACATTGAGTTCCCCTGTGTATGAAATGTGCTAGCTGTTTAAATTAATCAAATCAAAGACTTCACGAGTGCTACACGGTGCAAAAACTAAAACAGTGTTTTGATGACAGCTCTGTTTCAACAAACGCAGCAAACGCATTTAGTAAAAAAAAACCGTAATGGTCAACAATACAGTCAATATTTTGATGGGGTTTTGCCTGTCTTCATTAGTAAAGATAAGTCAGTGTGTGTCAAAGAGGATGAATCCTATTTCACTCGGTAAAATGTTTGTTTGTTTCTTTGGTGACATAGTGCCCCCTATTGGTAGCAAAGATGACACCGCCTGTGGCGGAGAACACTTTCCACTGATTTTACTTGAAGTATTCCCGTCTTCCACATCAAACTGACAGATGCAAAACGTGTGTGTCGGCAGGAAAACAAAAAACCTTTGGTCCCATTTTATTTTGCTGTTGTTTGCAACATAAAGCAATTGGGATTCATTTTTCATTTATGCTGCAAGTAAAGCTCACCGCCACCGATCACGCCCTCAATCAGAACCTAATGGATGCATGTACACGTCATGTTACTGGAACCCGAATAGTGACTCTTATGCTATAATCTATTATGAGCATCCTACGGCCGTTATGAATTTATCAAGTATTTATTTCCTACTATTTTCCAGCTCCCTCAGTGATTTGATGCATCTCCCGACTTTGTAATGCCGACAATGAGGGAAGCAGGTGTCCAATCGGGCAGGGCAGAAAAGAGCCGAGCGTTTCATGTACCTGCCTGCCCTTGGACTGTGTCCTGTCTGGGCGGGGGCGGTGCAGCTTCCGCACTTAAGACACATTACTGGCTCCTTGATTAAGACTCATGTAAGGCAAAGCGATAGACATGGTAAAACTGTCTTGAAAAAAAAGTTGTTAGGGATAAAATATATTGTGACAACCCGGTTTCAAAGGTTCATCAATAAACCGACAGATCATTTAGTGTCAATTAGAAGTGATAGATCGACAAATCCCGGGATTTCTGCGCTGGGATTAGTGGGAGGAGGGCGGCGGTGATTGAGCATGAGGGGTGACATTGAAGGGAAAAGTCCTTGCTGGCTCCAGGGGGGCCATTACTTACTTTGTTTCAGAGAGGATCAATGCACGTGCAAAACCCTTTTACACCTCCTGTATTCCAATGGCTTTGAGGCTGGGAATGAAGTTGGGTGACCAAAAAAAAAAAAAAAAAAAAATGCAGAGAAGTGACACGCTGACCTTCCGGTAAAAGGAGGGACGGGCTACAGACTTTCCTGGCTGGCCTGCTTTCACTGACGGCGCAGTAAAGGACGCAGATGACCCTTCACCTTAAAAGTTCCTGTGCGATCGCTTGCAAAGAAAACTGGAGAACTCGCATGGCAGGTACCCCACCAATATGACACATGAACAGGAGATGCTCTGTCGTAAATATTTAATGACTGTCTCCATGTTGTGCTGTGCTCCACATGTACAGCGGCTCACATGGGGTGATAAAGGGTCCGCCACCTCTGTCATGGAAGGACCGGCTGGCAAACAGTGCCCTCCTGTGGCTGATGTATTAACCATGTCAATTACTACCTTGCTAGCAGATGAAGACAAATGGAGAGGGGCCCCGCTCAGACTGGCTCGCTCTAACCTTGTTGATTCACAGCTTCGGGCCCAAATATGCACTGATAAATAAACTCGTTCCACCGAATCGAGGTCCATTAATAACGTGCTATGCGGGAACACAGCTCGCTGTCTAAAGTGTGGGCAATGGAGAGGGAAGACGAAGAGACGTACTTGCCAGGACCGGATCCGGAGCTTTCTTCTGCCCAGCCGCCTTGCCTCCTTGGCGGTTTGGGAGGAGGGTCCTGGATGAAGAAAATTTAACACGAGAGATTTGTGAAAAACATTTTCTTATTTTCTAAAGTCAAGAATAAAATATGTCAGTTACGGGTATTTACTCAATTTGAACCACTGCTGATATACAGCCATATACAAAGTTATCATCTTGGGATAACTTGAGTCATATTTAAAAAATGGAAATAATTGAGACAATTTGGATGTGGTTTTCCATTTTTTCTTCATTGCAATGCAGAGGTATCAGGAATCAGGACTCGGTATAAGCAGAAAATGAAAAATAAGTGACTCGGACAAAAAAAAAATCCCTAATTTAAGGTGCCTGAGAAATAATTTCCAGATTATTTTTTTGTTGTTGTTTTGTTTTGTTGTTTGGGGGATGGGGGGGGGTGCTTTCGAGCAGCAGTCTCGGCGAACACAGACTACTATTTCAAACTGTTCATAATTCCGTGCACCTTGTGCCAAGTCTGGGTCCCAGCCAAAGAAAAACAACATCAAAATATGATGCTGCCATCACTATGCTTCTCTGTAGCGTATGTTATGCTTTTCAGTTTTGTATTTGCACCAAACATGCCTTATAATATTACGACAGAAAAAAAAAAACGTTCGATTTTGTGAAAGTATAACACTCGTGCAACCACATTACTTTAGCTGGTTATTTTTATTTCCTCTCTCAAAAAGAGTCAATACAAATGAATTGATTTGTGCAGGTTGTGGATCACCTTAAAAGGTTGGGAAAAAATGGTGTTTGAACAGGGGTGTGCAGACTTTTTATATCCCCTGTATAAGCCCTGCGATCGGCTGGCGACCAGTGCTTGGACATTTTCTCAATGAACTGCACGTCCAAACTAAGGAACAACCATTGGTTTCCCAGCAATGCCAGTAGGGGGAGAGCTTGTCTGCAACACCGAATCCAGATGCCCACCAGTGAAATAGAGCAGACCTTAGGCCTTAATTGAAATGTTGTTCTGAGGATGCGATAAGCACGAGTGCACTTGAATAGTTACGCTGCATGAATTTACTGTTGAACAGCCTCACATCCAAGACCACAACATATGGAGCACAGAGTGTGGGAATGGGACAGCACCCTATGGAAGTCTGACCTTAAAATAGATGATCAGGGGAAAAAAATGACCTTCTCCCTATCGTTCTTTGATTCTGAAAATAGTAAAACAAGTATGCATCCTGATGCTGAGAGTGGGACCCTGAGAACTGCCCTTGAATGAATGCATTCCTCTGAGCTCACGATCAGGGGCACGAGACAAATGAATGTGGAAAAAAAAAAAAAAACAGGCCACAACGTTTCTCATTACCAAATTGAGTCTGCAGAGGACGAAGTGCTCATGAAGAATTTTTTTTCATTTATGATGAAATAGGAAATAATTTTTCATGGCTGGCCCCCTTTCCCCGAGCTATTTATAAATCTGGACGTCACTGTTGGGCACAGGAAGAGGGAGGGAGCTCACGCGATGTACACACCGATTGAGATGCCCACTTATAGGGAGGACTGGGGCTCAACTATAGCATTCAATTTTGTATAGTTAGTGAGTGTCTTTTCATCAAAATACAGCGGAATTATAAAATGAACAGTTTGAACAATTTCAGCAGTTATGGAAAACTGGGGCTGCTTCACAAAATGAGCCTATCCTGATATCTGACTTCAATGGGTTTTCCTTTTCACGTGTAGTAAAAGCAAATGACAAAGACGATATTCAAAACAAATTAACGGGTTAGTTCGTTTTCTTTTTATTGGCAACAACTTTTGTAAAACCAGCATCACTCTTTTCGTAGCCGTTTTTGTTGATGGAAGCAGAAGTGCACTTTGAACTACGGGAGCTGCTTCAAAAAAGATTTTTAAAATCGTGAGCTCAAATCAATCGCTAAATATGAGTACTCACCCATCCCTTTAGACACCATATCTACTGTACAATATGATAAACCAAAAGTAAAGCTACCCAACATGCAACGACGCCTGATAAACACATAATGGAGAGGGAATAGGAAGGTGTTTGCTTTGTGACACCTTGTAGCATTTTTAGACCGGAAATTGTGTCGACAGAGTTGAGTCCACTGGACTTCAAATCGTTTGCCGTTTGATGTGTTCTGCATTTTTAGGAGGACTCCACTGAATTACAAACCATGAGTTAGGTAGCTTGAATTCTCGATATATTACTGAACGAAAATATGTGAATGCCCCCAGCCACACATTACAGTGCCTCCAATTGCTCATGACCAAATATGTTAGGGCTGTTTTAGCAATTAGCTAAGCCCTCGTGGTTTCTAAATTCGGATTCGGTGATGGTCTCCAGGGCAGGAAACTTGTCGTGTCCAAAGTGTATGAGCCCAAAAGGCAGTGGCGTCTCTGTTTAAAAGGATGCCAGGAATGTAACCAATCAGTTGGGTATTTCAGGCGGAAGAGGCCAGGCTTGATAAACGATGACTGTAAATAAACCCACAGCACGCTGGAAAAATGTATTGAGTTTACAGAGCGGGTCAGAGAGGGCGCGAGAATATTGGTCCCGGCATTGAGGAAGTTGGCCTAATTTGGGAAGATTAGCCTAAAGCGACAGCATTGCTGGGATGTTTCTGCTTGGGGAGTGCTGGCTGCATGGCAATTTACCAATCCAGGCGACGTGACTGATTCCAAAAATGCCAGCGATGAAGTGATAGGAATTCCTCTCTTTTAACTGGCGGTGCTGCTGTGACTTGTCTAGCATATTTTTGTCCTATATTTAGACACATTTTTTTGCATCATTAAATACCAATGTTATGAGCTGAGAAATCCCTGGTAAAACTGTGACTGAGTCTGCTAGATGTTCAGGTGCACTGCAGATTTTATTTTTTGCATACTTTTATAAATTTATCAAAGTAGCCTACTAATTGACCACCACTTTGTTGTTTGTTTTATTATACCTCGCTTTCATGAACGTAACATGAATGTTTGAAGACTATATGTCGTGGCCCTCAAAAGGCATATTGTTCCTGAAAATTTCCACTTTAAGTTTGAGAATACAAACGCTTATTGAAAACATACATTATTGATCGTTTTTGTTGTGAAGTGTGCAGGAAATCTGTAATATCTGAATGTATAATTGTCTTTAATCCTGCATGAGAACACGCCATAACATATAATGGTAAACTCAGAGGACACAAACTTTGGGGGTTTTGGAGCATTTGATATCTGCTGAAGAAAAAAATACGGCAACTAAAACATTTTAAGTATACTATAAGGAAAAAATCACTCCTTTAATACTTTATACCATATTTGTCAATCCGGTGTTCAATGGTTTATTAAATTTTACAATAGCATATTAATTTTAAAAAGGAAAAGGTACCAAACCATTGAGGTGAAACAGATTTTTAAGATGACCCTTGAATGAGACGGTGGAATGGTATAAAGCTGATTGTGGAGTGTTTGCAAAAGAAGCAGTACAAAACCACAACAATGTTCATGCAACTTACCTCATCGTCATCCTGGATTAACGCATATATTTGGGGCATAACACATTCTGTGGTCAATGCAATAATTACTTCCTGTATAACCTGCAAATAATCATCAAATAAGTTCAGGATATTTGGCTTTTGGGTGAAATTTCGGGACGAGCCCAAAATGCATTCAAACCTTTATGATGATCACCTTTACATCATGAGACCAAGACGACACGTAACAATGGATCAACAGTACCTTGCCATTGTGGCCACTGAACTTAGAGTGTCACAGAGTGTCATCGGCAGGTTGCAACAGAGATACCGAGAGACTGGAAGAGTCACAGAAAGAATAGAAGTGGACGTCCTTTGGCCACATCCAATGCTGATGGTGGCTCCATTGAGAACAACACAGACCTGAATCCTATTGAAAACCTGTAGGATCAGCTGAGTCACCATGTCGAGGCTCGAAACTCTGCACCCGAGAACCTCAATGACCTGAGAGCTGCCCTTCAAGAAGAGTGGGATGCAATGCCTCGGCAGACAATAAATCAACTTGTGAACAGCATGAGACGTCGTTGTCAAACTGTAATTGATGCTCGAGGGCACATGACGAGTAAGTGAGATGTTGAAATTTTTTTGTTGTGGTGTAACAACCATGGTTACCTTGAATGAATTCTTTGAGATGAGGAAATCGCTAGTGCATCCTTCTACTTAAATGTCCTACTTTCATATGAAACTGAACTTATCATATTTTGCATAAATTTCACCTGAAAGCCAAATATCCCTAACTTGTTGTAAGTAGTGAAAAATGAGATCACATACGTCTCCAGCAGAAGCAGATGTGGAGGACTTCTTGGAGTTGCGGGCATCTCCAAGTGATTGGTCTGCTGTGAGGCGGGCTCTCCGGCCAGATTTTGCCAACTGCAAAAGACGACAGGGAACTCAAATGAGTATTAGACAGAAGATACTGTAAAAACATAATGAATTACGGAACAAATCTTGCTGTTCCACTTGTGTAAATCTGGAATTTTAAGAAATTGCAATATTTGTAAAATAATAACAACAACAACATCAATAAAACATATTCAGAGATAGATAGATAGATAGATAGATAGATAGATAGATAGATAGATAGATAGAATACTTTATTCCCACAGCTTTGACTTGCTGTCAACAATGGTTAGTAGTTGAGTGAACTTCTAAATCCTCCATCATTCATTCCCACAGTTTCGACTTGCTGTCACCAATGGTTAGTAGTTGAATGAACTTCTAAATCTTCCACCAACAAGTAAAAACAACTTTTATACAGTACTAACCGCTTTCAGTCTGATTGGAAATTTCACTATTGGCATAGCTAGCTTAGCTTTCGTGTCTTTATCACAAAAGCAGACTCTTCCGGTTGCCGTTCATCATGACTAGACAAACGATGGTGCATCTTGGTGATTAGGGGCTGCCATCAAGAACTAAGTTACTAACATGCCATTTATGAGTGGCTTTTTACCTCAACCTGGTTTATGTGGCTCGTAATAGCATTAGCTAAGTCGTAACAAGATTGCGTCGAGGTGAGAGACGAAAGAACCTCATTTCGTTATTTTCCAAACGCCACAGTGATACTTACGTTTTTAACTGGGCCACTTTCACCCAGTTGCACGCAATCGTCCATGTCGAGATCGATTTGGTTTAGTTTAAGCCACCATCGCCTTCGTCTGGATACCGACTAGCTTCACAGCCGGGCAACAGTCGCCATGGTAACGCACGGAGGAAACCACAGAACAGATATATTGTTTGTTTTTTTTAACATTGTGTAGTGATTGGCTCTAATCCTTAGTATTTACGTCTTTTTAAATCAACACAACTTCAATCACTCAAAAAAAAAAAAAAAAAACGCTATCAGTATCACATGTGGCACCGACTTCTTCCCACTAAGTGTCACTGTTGTGTATCTTTTGAACATGCCCGAGCTTTTCCCAGCATTTAACTGGAGTGTCATATTAAAATCATTTCTTGGCCTTGGTTTTATACAAGTTTGCTGTGGATATTATTGGCGTCAACCTTAAAACATTAGAAACAAACAACAAGAATATCTGGTTTCCATCGGAAATGTGTTGTTCTTTCATTGTATTTCCCTCAGTGGTGAGTGGTTAGGGCCACCAAAGTTTTTCTCTCTCGGCCTCAACACTGACAGAGGTGTTAAACTACATGCAAAACATTATTTATTATATGAAAATGTATTGGCTTATTTGTCAGTAGTCTATTCTCTTGATTTCATAGCGTTTCTGTGGACTACGCTGCTTCTGTATGGTATGTGGGTGTTGCAAATTAGTTTCAATCAGATTTCAGCCTCTTTGAGTTGCCATGGCAATCTAACCTGCCCAAGGCTTTCAGAATCAATGGTCCTGGCCAGTGTAACTCAAACCAGCGTTTCCCAACCGTTATTGAGATATGGTGCATACTATATTTTACATCAGAAACAATCTCACAGCACACCACCAAACAAAAATGTTATAAAGTGAAATTAGCACTACTTCTTAGGTCCTGGATAATGTGAAGGGCTACAAGCTTGATACACACTTCTGAAAAAACAAATGTGCTCAATGACCTTTAATTCTACAGTATGTTATTAAAAACAGTTAATGGCATTCATCTAGTTGCTAATAGAGTAGTGGTACACTCATCTGACTTGTGTGCGGGAAGCATGGGATCGGTTCCCACTTAGTGACAATGTGATTGTGGTTGTCTGTCTCTTTATGTGTCCTGCGACTAACTGGCGACCAGTTCAGGGGGTAGTGCGCCTTTCGCCCAAAGTCAGCTGGGACAGGCTCCTACAACCCCCGCGACCCTCTTTAGGATAAGCGGTGTCGAAAATGGATGAATGGATAACATTCATCTATCTAACACAATGTTTTTTTTTTATTTCTCAGAATTATCGATTCAGTAAGCTATAGGAAACATATATCAATATGTTATACAGTACTGCAAGTCAAAAGAGACGAGAGAACAATAGGCACAACAACTGCTGCATCAATATCAGAAATAGTCCAATTTCTACAAATCTCTGCAAGTATTTTTACAATATTCTGAGCTATATTGTGAACGGCCCTATAGGCTACTCATGCAGTCTATGCGGGGCTACCCGGTGCCATTAAATAAATTCCAAATGGTTCGACATAAAATGACAGCTTTGAATTCGGGACCGAGACTGTCTCATCTGAGTCTACACTTTGCCGCCCCTCCCTCAGAAACGTCACACCCGGAGAGTATAAAAGTTGCAGGGAGCGCTGTGCACGGTGCACTGTGTTGGGAGGTTTAGATCTACAGGCTGCATCGCCTCCTCACCCAAGTGGAAGGACCGAGCGCCGTGCAATGGACAAAGTGACCCGCGGTGCACTGTGTGCGATGCCCGAGGGGGAATGAAGAGTACGACACGTAGTTTTGATGAAGGCTTGAGATTCTCTGGCGCTATGGCACGGATTTGCACTCTGGCAAAGGCGCACTTTGCAAAGATGACATAGCGCTCGAGATCATGGGACTCCTCGAGGAACCGAACTCACTCACAACGTGAATGAAAAGAGGAAAAGGGATTTGCACTCAGCGCGGTTGTTTCGTTCTTTTACCTGGGCGGCTGTGAGCAGAGTGAGTGTGAACTATGAATTTGGGCAAAGCGCTCCTGTTGCTCCTGCTCTCCAGTTGCGTGACAATGGTGCTGTCGCTCTCCACTTGCACCACCGTGGACATTGACCACATCAAGAAGAAGAGGGTGGAGGCGGTGCGGGGACAGATCCTCAGTAAACTCCGATTGACCAGTCCGCCCCAGACGACGGGTCCCAGCCAGGTACCGTTCCAGGTGCTGGCCCTCTACAACAGCACCAGGGAGCTCATCGAGGAGCTGGGGAGAGACCGGCAGCAAAGCTGCGGACAGGATAACACAGAGACCGAATACTACGCTAAAGAGATTTACAAGTTCAACATGATCAACGGGCCGCCTGAAAACAGTAAGTTTGAACGTATGTCCATCACCATTCCCTCTACTTAAGGTCAGAGACGCAATATGAGTCAACTCCTAGCCAGGCATGCACTGTGCAAAACCATTCTAAATGGGAATAAACAAACATTTAATGTGAGTTCAAAATAATTCAAATTTTACGTTAAAATTAATGTTCATGTGTGGTTTTTTTTCTTCCCAAAGTTAACTGTCATTTAGTGCATTTTGCTGTACAAAGATACATTTTTTGTAAAAACATAGTTTTGGAGCAAATTCAAATTGGATAATTTCCCACAGCACAGTGTTTGGTGATCGATTGTTGGTATCGTGGTTAGCATGTTGGTCTCACAGCTGCCAAGTCTTGGGTTCGAATCTCCTCTCCATCTCTCCTGGCTGCCCATGGTTCAGTGGGTTTTCTCCAGGTACTCAGGCTTAATCCCACATTCCAAAAACATACATTTTAGGTTCATTGAATACTCTAAGTTTTAACTCCACGAACGAGGACAAGTACTATTTAAAAATAAAAATAAAAAAATGAATGGATGGATATCTAGCTAGCGTGGCAAAAAAAAAAAAAAAAATGAAGCCACATTAGGAGCTACTTCAAACTCAAAAATTGAGGGTGGTCCTTAATGCACCCATCCATCCATTTTCTATAATGTTAATTTCAGGCAAGAGGCGGGGTGTACCCAGTAAGGGTTGCCAGGCAATTGCAGGACTTTCTCAATACATGCATACTCATGTTCGAAATGTAGAGTAGATCACAATGTCCCATTGTAAAGTTACCCAAACTGAGGGACAATTTTTATTACTTAGATTTTAAGATCATGGCTGCGTGAAATATCGGAACAATACGGTCATCGCGATAATAGCACATGCAATATGTGTACCACCAAGAGGTGAGATATTCATTCATATAAAAATATCAAACATCTGTATCTAAAAATTCACATGTACGGGTACTTCCCATGATAGTGTCGTAGGGCGGTCGCCTGACTTCAATGCAGAAAGTGACTGACTGGTGTCTAGTCCAAGGTATAAGCAAGGCAACTTTAGTTACCGTATAGAGCATATTTTATACACAAGACAAGATTTGAAGACATTTTAAAAGCGAATGAAAGAAATAAAAAGTAGCTTTCTGAAATTACGAAAAGACCGTAGAGTGATTTTAAAAATGTATAAAAGACCTTCACCGAAGGAATGGGGAAAAAAACACAGTGTATGAAAGCAAACTGTACTAAAAATACTTGGGGTTGATTTCACTTTCATTGGCAACATATTCCATTTGTATGCAGCATAACAACTAAATGCAGCTTCACCATGTTTGCTATAAAACTTGGGCTTCACTAATGGATCCGAGTCTGCAGACCTCAGAGCCCTACTGGGTTTATATTCAATTAGCATTCCCTTAAAATATCAAGTACCCAAACCATTAGGTGATTTATAGAATTGTAGTGCTCATTTAACCCCCCCCCCCCCCCCTCTCACACCTTCAGCTCCCCGGAACCTTAGGCAGGATATATGTTCAGAATTACTCTACCTATTTTAGTAAGTCTGGATCCTGAGAAGGAAGTGAATTTTCACATGAGAGCTTAGAGTGGTTTAATTTTCCAGATGTTAAAACAAAACAAAACAAACCCCAAAAAAACTTTCATTATTATCAATGACACAAGTTCATACTTTCTTTTGCTGTTTCAAGCCAGAAGGGATTCATTCACCAAGTAAGAATGTGGCCAGCATGTGCATAATTGTGGGCTTAACAAGTGTATCTCCGAAAATGTTGTCATTTGTTTGAGCGCAGTTTTTACGTGTATGCAAAGGGGAGACCAAAGTAAACAGTCTAATTGAAATGAGCACCATTCCTCATACATACCTCACACCAAAGCCATGGGAACTCCAGCCTAATTCTGACACATTCCTAAAAGTGGGGGTGGTAGCGGGGGGTTTCTCAAGCAGTTAGCTCCTACTATCCATTGCCAACTCCAATACCTCATTTCCATTTTTATGCTGCCAGTTTCCTAATATTTTTCATCCTCCTTTATAACTTTCTCACTCCTGCGAACCCATTCATCTTGTAGTATTAAGCGGCTGAAGCCATCCCGGTGTTTTCATCCAATTCCCGTATTGGTATTTCCTGTATAAAACGCGCTCCATTTATTGTTCCCGACAGTCGGGAACAGAAGTCAACTATATGTTCCTCCAGATGGAAGTTTGTTTTTTTTAAGGTGAGAGGTGCCGTCGCCCCTATTCATTGCGGATCAACAGGTGTTTATTCCGGGCTGTGACACTGAGCAGAGCATCCGAGCATTTGAGTCATGGATCAAATCCATTTATCAGGTCCCACCAAGTGATCCTGACGTTGCAACCACGCAGCTCAGAGGTTTCGCCACTGGTTAGAAGTACAAGCACTGCTCCCAAAACAAACACAGCGGGACTGCTGATGGCCGGTTCTCGTACTGGATGTGAGAATACGAGACAAGAGCTTGACTTGCTGCTGGCACCCGTTCAACAGCATCTCCATGCGACATAAAAAGCCCAAACTTTGCCAACATATATTAAGTAGCAATTATCTCCTCTTTTTCCATGATATAATTTCAAAGAAAGCAGGGCATGTTTGGGCATGTTTAGAACGTATCGTCTGTCATCTTGATAGTTCAGTTCATTTTCATTCCCGCTGGATATAATGACTTTTACATTCGCTCGTTCTGGAAGGTGGGAGTATGTGGGAATATAGTCAAGTTTTTCACGCCCTGTTAAAAAGTTAAACAGAACCTTTTCTCTTATTCCTCATGCAGCCTTTTTCCCCTCGACACGAACTACCAATGTCAAATATTTGCGATTTATAAGCAAAAGCTTTAAAAGTAATACGCAGATGGATCCAGATTGGTGGCAACACCTTTTTGCCGTTCAAAAAAAAAAAAATGACCTTGTGTGTGCAATCGGCTTATTTGGATTTTTTTTTACAGCATCTTAATGCAAGTGCATTTGATTTTTACAACTGGAGGTTGTGTAACAGAGTGGATAATCACATCTGCACTGTCTTTTATGAGGTCAAGACACTTCAGCAGCTGGCGTGCACCTGCAGCCTCGTGCTTCCTCTTTCCTTTGTTTACCCTTGCAAAGCTCTGGAGAGAGTGACATCACAGACAATCCTCCAGGCGACAGGGGAAAAGAGAGGAGATTCCCAAGTCCTATTTTTTCCAATTGTTTTTTTTTTCAATCTGAAGTCAGACAGAAAACTGGAGGAGGATCAGCATGAGTCTGACCCTAAGGTCGTCTTCACATCTCACTAAACTTGAGAAACAACACTAAATTACATTTGAATGTAACAATTGGTCAGTAAATCTACATTCACACACACACAGAGTAGGCTACAGAGTTGATCACAATCCGCACCATGGAGCTGAAGGACTTCCTTTCGAAACTATTTTTCCACTTAGGAATGAAAGAAATGAAGTAGTTAGTTCATTCCAACATGGACAGCATAAATTGTTCAATACACTGGAGCAGTGTGATGGCCGTAAACCTTCTCAAACTGAGGCTGAACTGCAGTAGGCGGGGACAGAAAAACATCTTGCCAGGTGGCAATTTTGCAACCCTTCGCCAATATTGGCGAACCATGGGCAATGTAATATGCTTACAAAAACCACAAAGCTGAGCTGTCAAATGCTGATGTCCTCATGTCTAACCGAACGATACCTGAGACAAAATAGAAAAATGAAGTGCATAGTGACTTTTGGAACACCCTGTATAATGGCGTGGAAATAGGGAGGAATTTGTAGCACAATACTGGCACACGGTGGCCTTTTATTGGTATTGCCGGAATATAAGTATTGTGTTGTTTCTGATGTAGTTGTGTTAAAAACTGCTTGGTAACCTTAATTTGTGCGTGGAATTGCCATTTAATTCATATTACACTGAGCCATATATTTCATTTGTGGTTCTATGTTTATAATTACAATTTTCCTCTTTGCTATCGCTAGCATTCTTCCATGTTAGCGCCACACAAAGAAAAAGCTAAACATGTTGAGTTATGATTTTAAGATGTTCAATGAACCGAAGTCCCAGACGATTAACTGATGTCTCACATTTAACGCTTAAGTTTTGTTTGACTGTGGAAGCGCATTGTTTCCAGAGACTTTGTTGTTTGAACTCCAAATTGTAAATCTTTTAGCCCCTTCAACTTTGGAGGTTCCACTGTAAAAGTGGCTGATGTTTGATAGTTACTTCACATAGTTTGCTTCAAAAGTTTGTCTCACCATGTGACTCATTCAAATATTGGGTCGTAAAATTAGTAAATACACTTCATTTTAATTATGTAAGCTATCCCCTCCGTTTGCCAACATGGAACAAATTACCTTTCAGACCCTTGGCAAAAATAAGCCATAATGTGAAATCCACCTAAAACTGTTGCAATGGGAAAAATGAGGTCATCCAAAAGGAAACCAAAGACTTGATTAGAATTTCAAATCTGCTTTCAAAAAGGGGGGCTTTCCACCTTCGGTGGGGGTTCGAGTGGGGCTGCTGTGGGGGCCAGTGAGTGAGTCGAGCAAAGGACTACTGAGGTTTCCTCCTTGTAGATGGCGTGGAAACACCGGGCAGATATATGGCCTGGGACGATTGCTGAAAAGGTCAACTATAAATAGGATAACGTTTGTGGAAATATCAGATAATGGCTGGGAGGGCCCTGATGCAGGATTATGGGTCAAATGAAGTAATTGGAGATGTTTACACGATGACACAGATACACAGCTGCATGTATGAGTTTCCATTGTATGACAAAAGCTCAAGGTGGGAATCAGCTGAGGGTGCGATAGCCTCACTAAGCCCCTAATAGAGTCGAAGCCGCGGGTAATAAATTAGCCAGAGCTCGGCTGTGAATGACTGTTTCCATTTGGCTCGTAAAATGTTTGCTATGTGCTTGTTTAGCTCCGCGCCGCATGTGCCTGGCTCGTTAAAATAATAAGCTATACATTGATATCATGAAAAGAAGGGCGAGCCTCCGGTGCAACAGGAAGCTTTTCAGGTACAAGCACAATGCGGCCATTTATATCTCACTAAATGTCGGTGTGCTATTTTATCAAATGTGCACGCGCCAGTGCCGTGTCTGGCAAGTTATACACACACAATCGCTTGTGTTGGAATATTGTACTTTTTTGGCATGAAGGCCCTCACATCCCTGAGCCTGAGTTCCTCTACTTCTTGGCAATATTCGAATCACTAGCTGGGCACCTGTTGAACTCCAGAGTTGATTGGGGGCCATGTTAATTTGGTTTTCATTGCAGCTCGAGCTATGCAAAGCATCAGGCACGGCAAGGTAATCCACAATTGTTTAAAAAGCGCATTCCATACACATGGTAATTGCACTTCATTTAATTAACAGTACAACATTTAAAAAAAATTACAAACCAAAAAAATGAAAGACATTTAAAAACAATGAACAGAAATAGCTTACCAACATTACTAAAGGAGTGAACAGCGCAAGAAAAAGATTTTGAAATTTGCTTTTAAAATTGCTTTAAAAGACCGCAATCATAGGTAAGGGAGAAAAAGCAGTCTGTAACATGGAATTAATTATTCACACTTGGAGCTAATTTCACTTGTGCTGAAAGCTTATTCCATTTGCATGCAGCACAACAGCTAAATGCTGGTTCACCATGTTTTCTTTGAACTCTGAGCTTCACTAATTGACCTGAGTCTGCAGACCCCAGGGCCCTTTTTAGATAGGTTCCTTTTCCATTTGGCATGGGCATTATAATTATTCTGTGGAATTGTTTCATGAGTTACACTGGTCAATAATTTTTGACGACACTTTTTAATCAGAGGTGCAACTCAACCTTTCTGGATGTTTTTTTGTTTGTTTGTTTATTTCACTGATTGAAAGCTGCCCTTGTTTTTTCTCGAGCCCATGAGGTTGTCATACTAATAAGTGACCATCCATCCATCCATCCATTTTCTGATCCGCTTATCCTCACAAGGTTGGCGGGCATGCTGGAGCCTATCCCAGCTGTCATCGGACAGTAGGCGGGGTACACCCTGAACTGGTTGCCAGCCAATCGCATGTCACAATGATAAAATATGTCATATAGTTTAGTAATATTTCTGAATTAAGGGTTAGGTTCAGCAACAAGGGGAAATTATTCCTGAAACCTCACGGCTATGAATTACAATGCATGGTAAAGTCCATATTGCGCAAGCTTTCCTTGGTCAAACTCAAAAACAAAGAATGAAAATATCTCAAAAGTCTGATGTGCTACAAACACTCACATAAAAAAAAAAAAAAAAAAGTCAAGACATTTTTGACATCAGGGTCAAAAATACGTTTGGGGTTACATTAAAGCCACCTCTGATTAAAATTTGCTGTTGACCAGTTTGATTTGTGTCCGGTAGAGTGTGACGGGTAAATAGCATGTCTGCAACTACATGCCTGTAACCAGCAGAGGTGCTTTTGATTCAGTCTTAACTAGTTTGCTGTCTAAAAAGTGTTAAATGACATCCGTCATGGGTTCAGCTACATCTGCGCACAACTTCTCTGGGGAGTATGTACCCCACATGTAAAATCAAGTACTCCAATGCCCAACACTGTTCATCGTGGTGGTAGCCAGCCATTAGGTATTTAACAAATGAGCATTATATTTAAATGCAAAAATGAAACAAATATATCAATACAACAATAAGGAGTTGTTTTTGCTGACTCGAGCTTGAAGTACAATTGCTCACAAAGGGTGAAAAAAACAAAGGGATCAATGATTCAACCCACACAATGTCCGGCACTTGCTGAAGGGAAGCCATACAAAAAAACCCACAAAAAAAAACCCGCCAGAAAGTCTCTCTGAAAATTCATATAAATCATCACAAGATAAACATGTTCATCCCTGTAAGAATATCTGTGGAAAATAGCTTTTAATAATAATATACCCAATGAGGTAAGAAGTGAATTTATGTTTCAGCAAATTCTGCCAAGAGCAACACTAATTCTCAGGAGTCCCACATAAAAAAAAGCTACCATTGAGTCATGCTTTTCCATTTTACCTGCAGATGACCTCCCCTACTGCCCAAAGGGAATCACCTCTAAAGTGTTCCGCTTCAACGTCTCCACCATGGAGAAGAACTCCACCAACTTGTTCCGGGCCGAGTTTCGAGCCCTGCGGATCCCCAACGGTAGCGCCAAGAAAAATGAGCAGCGGATCGAGCTCTACCAGGTGTGTCAACTTGCTAATGCCCCCTTGCGCACTCTCTCTCTCTCTCTCTCTCCTTCCCCCCCCCCCCCCCCCCTCTCTCTCTCTCTCTCTCTCTCTCTCTCTCTCTCTCTCTCTCTCACTCTCTCTCTGCCAAAAGGGCCACCAGTATGTCGAAGGTGAAAACATTTAGATTAGGACGTCCAACTCCCTCTGAGTGTTCTGCTCTCGAGTACTGACCATTACTACTTGCGGTTGCAGACCAAATTACAGCATATTTAAGAGCCTCCACGTCCAGGATGACATTACTAATCTGTTGTTGCTTTTTTTCATGTTTAATATATTAGAGCTGCAGTCTATCCTTGTCGGACTGACCAAGCCCTAATCATTTTCAGCGTTGAAATTTTTCAGTGTTCTCCTGCCATGTCGCTTTTCAACGTTCACGCCACAGCTCAATGCTTTTTTAAATTGCGATTTGGCATTCCAAATATATATGTTCGCTGATTGCTTTTTTTTTTTGGGGGGGGGGCACTTATGCGCGTAACCTCCTTACTTAAGGCCAAAGCAATCCGTAGTTTCGGGTACCATCTTGGTGCCACCAACTATGTTGAAGTAAGGTGAGGAGTTTATCCATCCATCCATTTTAAACACCGCTGATCCTGAACAGGATCGCGGGGAGTTGCTCAAACCTATCCTCGCTGACTTCGGACAGAATGTAGACTACACCCTGAACTGGACGCCAGCCAGTCGCAGGGCACATATAGAGACGAACAACCATTCACACCCACATCCACACCGTCACTGAGTGGGAACCGATCCCCCGCTGCCCGCACACAAGTCAGGCGAGTGTTTCACTACACCATCAGCGAGTCTGAGGGGTTTAATTCAGCCAAAAGTAGTGCTTTGCTGTCATGCTGTCTCATTTAACCCTTTCATGCACAAATAATGATAAGCTACACCAGGATTTTTTTCTCAAGTGTTTTTATTAGTCTTTTGGCTTGGAAAAAAAAAATCATGGCGGTGGATGACAACACACGATGGTCCGTTGTAGTGGTTGATGCACAACTGTGATTTATTATTAAGATTAATTAATATAAGAGAAAACAACATTTGAATAGCTGTCCACTCTAGTAACCGCTGTCCCTGAAAGGGTTCAAAGTCAACATAAACTGTTTGTTTAAAGTATGTGGGAAGGGTTAAAACTTCCCCAAAAAGTTTTTATATGGTCTCACTTTATCGTAGATCTGGAATGTACACCCTGCTATAAATTGGTCCACTGTACATGTGTTTTTGGGGCATGTTTGTCAAGTGTCAAAGATTTTCCTCATTAATCTCTCATGAGAGACGAGGAATAATGATCGGGTTCCTACGTTTCCTGCCGGGGAGACAAGCGCCTCCAGACTGAATCCTGCCTCCGAGGCAGCCTCTGGCCAGCTCTGAATGCAGACTGTCAGGCCGGCAGATTGTTTCCAGGGGCCCGCGAGGAGATAGAGACAGGGTCACCCATCAGGGGAGTAAATGGAGCTTGTCACTCTTTCGCCCACACACTCTTCACGCCAGAGCTGGTTGGCAGAAATCTGATACTGGCAGGACCCGCGTTCCCACAGGAAGTGACATTAGATTCTGACAATGTTCAGGGACCTAGTTTAGGGCCTAGTCACTCACGCTAATGACTTCTAAGGTGAAAATAGCCAAAGAAAAAGCAAAATGTTCATCCGACTGAAGTCGAAGGCTTTGTGCGAATTCAGAGGTGTCTGAGGAGTTGAATTCCAAATGATAGGAGGAATTTAGGGACAATGGACTGAGGTGTTTGCAGGTGGTGAATCAGATTCCATCCATCCTCACTTTTGCCTCTCAATCTGGAGCTTGATGACAAGTTTCGCAGGCGGATGCGGTGCAGGGATAACTACCGTGGTAGTACAACAATGCCTTAAGGCTCGTGTGGCACTGCCTCTCATGTATACTGCCGATACGAAGGCTAACCAGAGTCCTATTGGCAAGAGGGATTAACTTGCAAAATGGGGATATCAACCCAGCCAGTCACTTTTTCCATGAAGAGTACCCATTTCGTCCAAGGCGTCCCGGAGAGTCTGGCTCAGACAGACAGCTCCGCTTCTGCGTGTGCGTGTATTTTACGTGTATGCAGCTGGGTCACATTTTCATCCTTCCTTTGCAGATCCTCCAGAAAGACGACCCTAAAGCCAAGCAGCGCTACATCGGGGGCAAGAACGTTCTGACTAAAGGGATGGCCGAATGGGTCTCTTTCGACGTTACGGAGACAGTGAGGGAGTGGCTGATGTACAGACGTGAGTGTGTGTTGGGGGAGGGGGTTATTGAGGGGCACCCTAATTCTGTCTTGCACCGTGTTACTGATTTGATGAGATAAGATTCAACTTCATTGCAGCTGCAAGGCACTGCAATGCAATGAGTGCAACTAGCCAAAATGCATAGACACTAACTAAATTAGGGCCGGATGATTTTGAAAAATAATCCAATGGCTATTTTATTTATTAATTTATTTTTCCTAACCCTCAATTGATTTAATATGCAATTATTTTTTTTCATGTTTTTTTAACAAACAAGTAATAAATTAATTTGTGTTATAATAATAATGTCAGATTTATTATAAATAAATGTCTTGGTCGGTTCATGCTTAAAAAAAGAGCAAATGAATTAATATGAAAGTGTTATTATTATTTATCTACTTCAATTAGACATGTTGATTTGTGAAACACTGACTTGCAGTCTTTGAAGCATTCAATACGACAGCTTTACAAAATTCGACCAAAGTGTGGTGTAAACATGAGAATCAGATTATAACAATACTGTAAAGAAATCACTTGGACTTTTCATTTTCATGAAACAATGGTATGTAAACACTGCATTTCTTTAGCATATAACTCATCTAGACAGACTGCATTTATCTAGCCACCATAAAAATAAATTACTAAAATATACAAACATATAAATAAATTAAGGTTAGTGATTTAGCAAAATGAAGCAGTTTTTTTCTCAAGATTTAAGCCTTTGCGATTTAAAAATTTCTATTTACCGCACTGCTATGTCAATTTGAATGTGATTAATTTTGCAGCGCGAGTGCAAAATATATTGCCGCCAATTTATGCGGCAGTGTAAATATCCCAAAAGTCCAACTTCTGTTTCCTCCCCCCTTTCCCTCAGAAACCAATCTTGGCCTGGAGATCAGTGTGCACTGCCCATGTCACACCTTCAAGCCCAACGGGGACATTATTGAGAACGCCAACGAGGTGCTCGAGGTCAAGTTCAAAGGTACATTTTTGAGTTGGTTGGCAATGCAGGGCTTGACGTCTTTTTTGTGAAGGACTCAAGGTTTAGTGCAACAGCAAATCCATCCATCCAATCGTTTTTGTATACCGCTTACCCTCATCATTAGGGTTGTGGGTCAGCTGAAGCCAATGCCAGCTGACTTTGGACAAGAGGCGGGCTACACCCTGGACTGGCCGATAGCCAATTGCATGACACAGTCGATTGGCAGGCAGACAATCTGGAGACCTAACGAGTTGTAAACATTGAAAAGGTCATTTTCCCACAATATATCTCCTTTATGGAACTTCAAATCAAACAAAAAGAATACACAGAGCACACTCTTCAAAATAAAATCTCCTCATATCCTGACCAATAAAATACTGTACACCAATTGGAAAAACTGCTTTTTTTTTTTTTTTTTTTGGACTGAAGTTGATGGAAAAAAGTTACCACTGTGTAAAGCAGATCTGCTGTAGATTGTATTGGTTTTCCTTGCTCCACATAAAATGGCTCCACATATTGTCAAGACAAGAAAAAATATATATTTTTTTACCTTATCTACCTGAGAAACAAGCAGAATCAAATCAATCTTTCTCTGGAAATCTGGTAATAATAAAGATTTATGTACTGAGTACTGAATTCTAAATTTCAACCAAGTGTAAGCCCTTATATTTCTGTATCATTTACAGCAGAGGTGGGAAAAGTACAGTAGTCCTGCTCCAAAAGCATTTATGTACAATATTTATTGTATTAATTTACCCGAAACGTCCTCAAATCCGTGAATCAAAATGTTTAAATTCATTGTTTAAAATTGATTTCTTATATTAGCTTACTCATCTATTTTAAATAGCAAAAAAAAAGTGAGATTTAAAAAATTCATTTTATATTCCTTGTTTTTTTTTTTATATTTGTTTTTATGAATTCTAAATGAACAGTGACAAATAACGTCAAACACAAAGCTTTTGTTTTGCATTAAAATAAGCCATTTCAGATGGCAGAGTTGTCGAACGGTTAGCATGTCTGTCTCCCAGTTCTGAGGTCCCGGTGTGGTGTTTACATGTTCTCCCTCGTGCTTGTGTGGATTTTTTCCAGGGACCCCTCCAAGTACCTTCTTTCACATCCCCAAAACATGCATGTTAAGTTACTGAATACTTAAATCTTTCCATAGATGTGGACATTTTTTTTTCATACTGTATGTTCCCTGTGATGGGCTGGTGACCAGTCTTAGATGTGCTAAAGATTTTTTTTTGTACCTCATCTACGAATGACCCAGCTCATAAAAATCAAAGGATAAAGTGGAAACAACTTTATCCCAAGTTAGTTTCCTCAAGCGTTATCGAGATATATTCCTGCTAAAGACAAAAAAAATGCACCCCGTTTATGATTTTTGTAAAATCCAAGGCGAGATAGCATAGCACATGGCTTGATCCGTCAAAATATCCAATGTTTGTTGACCTATTTGTTCAGCTGGTGATGAGCAAGATCATTTGTTGTTAAAGGACTCTTGCCATTTGTTGGTAGTTTTGGTGCGACTGAAACAAAAGGGCCCTCTGTGGCGAATCTGAGCTGTTGTCACACAGAAGTAAATTGGTCCCATATGCTGCCTTAACAAAGGGCAGTGGACTGAAACCGAAATTCTACACACACACACACACACACACACACACACACACACACACACACACACACACACAAAAAAAACTTGCTCCACTGCTCTGATGTTCATGAATGAATGACTGAATACTCCTCATTACAGTGTCTTTGATAAAGATAATGGCTCTCCCTCCTCCAAAGAAGGCAGACCGAGAGTATGAGAATGACATCGATCTGGTATCTCACTTAGTATAAAGGGGCCCCCGGACCCCGGGTCCTGGGAACGCTCCAGAATGGGCTTGGCCACAAGGAATGTGCTGCCATGGCGCTCAGACGTTTGGCCCTAATTAAAGCGGGGCCAACATATCCACCAGCAGCATCTCTCCTGAGATATGTGCTGCTTTAGCCATCAGGCCGAGAGCGGACGAGCAGACGGTGGGAAGAAGGAAGTCGGAGAGCAACTGCTATTGAAGAAGGATGAAAAGTAAAGCCTTGGTCTGGACATAACCCTCCCGTAAAAGCTGACAGTTGATTATGAGCGCGGTTAGTTGTGGCTGGGGCACTTTTTTTCTTTTTCTTTTGCGTGACCGCCTCGTTCCCTCCCGCAGGTACGGAGCCAGACTTTGACGACCAGAGCCGCACCAAGAAACAAAGGGAGCAGCTGTACCCCCATCTCATCCTCATGATGCTGCCCCCGCACAGGCTGGACGTGCATTCTTCGTCCCGCAGGCGCAAGAGAGCACTTGACACCAATTACTGCTTCAAGTAAGCCACGTTTGACCACGACAATAAATTGCTTTGCTATATGAGGGCCACTTTGAAATTTCTGTGGCATTTAAAGGTGCACGAAGTAGTCTGTTTAATTGCCGTTAGGATTATGAGGGGAGGGGGTCCTGCAAAAATTTCATTAAAGGCACCCCCGGACTAAAATTCTTGTCAAGCTCGGACCCGCATTTTCCTTTTGTCATTAACCTTCAACCTAGTTATATAGACATCAAAAATAGTGGAAAAAAGATTTTGCTCAAAAATGACCTTTGAAAACATGCCTGTATGCATACCACATTGTTAAACTGAACAACACATACTTGCATGTTCGAAGTGTCTTCCACATCAGTCAACTGCGTGTACAAAAATTAAGATACTAAAATGAAATATCACAATTGCATCATAAAATAGCCACAAAATTTCATATACTTGGCACTGATCTTTTCTCTTGAGGAATGGCCTCACGTAATATGTTCCATGTGGGAACTCACTGTTACACCCCAATTATGTTTCTAACATATGCCGGTCAAAATGGAGGGTTTTTTTTTTTTCATGGATAAAAGCCACGTCCAACCTAGGATGTACATTAAAAATCAGCCCTCACTTTAACCCTTTCAAGGGAGAGCGGTTACTACAGTGGACAGTTTATCATGTTCAGGATACAGGCTGCATGAAAGGGTTAAACTGGAGTTGCCTTTGTCTTGTCCAGGGAAACTAAGACAATGAAAGTATTTATAAAAAAATTATGAGATTCATTTACATCTTCCTATGGAGGCGATGTAACCTGGATTTGTGTGTCAGGCTCACTAACCCAGGGGTAGGGAACTCCGGTTCCTCGAGAGCCATATCCTGCCTGTTTTAGGTCCCTCCCTACTCCAACACAACTTATTCAAACGATCAGCTCCTCAGCAAGCTCTGTCGAGGCCTGAACAACTCAATCAGGTTTGTTGGGAGTAGGGAAGGACCTAAAACAGGCAGGATATGGCTCTCGAGGAACTGGAGTTCCCTACCCCTGCACTAACCTACGCTACTATAGTCGGTAGGTCAGAATTACAGTTAACATTGGTATGGAAAAAAAAAAACATCGGACATAAATATACCGTAAAACAAACAGACGTAAAACAGTTGCAGATCACGGCTTTCGAGAGCAAGGAACTTTTGGACCACATTGACGAAGCGTCCACTTCTGCTTGTTGCAGGAAGAACGTGGCATTCACCAGCGTAGGTTTTACTGACACGCTTCAGGTCTGTCGTACAGCCCGTCACACAGCCGACTGCAGTATTTTGTCACTAGCTTGTGTAACATGCGGCTAAAAAACATGAATCCGAGTCATTCTTGAGTTCATTGTATCAGGATTGCAGTGTTTTGTCACTAGCTTGTGTAACATGCAGCTAAAAGACATGAATCCGAGTCATTGTTAAGTTCATTGTATCAGGAAAGAAAAGTACATTGTCCTTAAAATGATGTTATTCTTGAAATATTTGAATAAGTGATGTAACACTGTATTACAATCCGTTTCTGGAGTCGAGAAAGACACAGTGCAACAGTGACCGAGTCGTCGCACGCTCCAGCGGACAAAAGCAAACGATGACATCACATTGAGCCATTATTCACCTCGCTGTCTCCTGTATATGATAAGCCGCGTGTGTGTTATCGCGATCGAGGTGTACGAGCGGCGAGCCAACATGCGGGGTGGCAGGCTTGGAAGACCTCGCGTGTTAATCACAGAGACGTGATGACATGATACAAGTCGAGATCTGTCCCTGCAGCGACTAGAAAATGCTCGCCACTCACATGCCAAGCATCTCCTCGCCTCCCATATCCTCTTTCGGGCCGACAAAGACACCTGGGCTCACTGGGAAGGGAAAATAAGGGCACACCTAAGAGTGGAATTTGGGAACTTCTCTCATCTGTGGCAGAAAGGCCACAGGGAGGAAATAGTTGAGTTACATGGCCGTGTTATAAAGCGCGCTACTCTCCTCTTCCCTCCTTGTCTGCAGCAATTACGAGGAGAACTGCTGTGTGCGACCACTTTATATTAATTTCCGCCAGGACTTGGGCTGGAGGTGGATCCATCAGCCAGAGGGCTACTACGCCAATTTCTGCTCCGGTCCTTGTCCTTACCTACGCAGCGCTGACACCACACACAGCACGGTGAGAAAAAGAGACGCACAAGCTAGGGGCGCTATCAGAGGCCATTTCAGTTGCGATAAAATCTTCGACTGGCCTAAACTGAGCTACATTTGTAATGTATATGGTAGTATTTGTTTCATGAAATTGCATTTATTCTCAACAGTCAAAGGCTGCCACTAACGATTATTTTAATAGTCAATTTATCTGTTGATTATTGTTGTGTAATAAATGAATTGGACTAAAAAAAGTGAATAAAATTCCATCCCCTTTTAAAAAAAATAGGGCTTTGTTTTAAATGGACAGTGCAGAAAACACAAATAAAAATTAGGATTCTGTTTCTGGTTTGGTCGCTAACAGGTCAGAATATAGGCAAAAAATGTTTTGATTCAACACAAAGATAATCCGTCCACTTTCACGGAGGACAACAGAAGTTGGGTAATATTTACAGCAAGAAGCTGAAATTCAGAGCATTTGGGAAATTTGAATGAAAAAAAATATCCAAACAATTCATTCTCAAAAATTATGATTAATTTGCTAATGGATTAGTTGTCCATGATCAATTAATCTTTGCACCTACACAACATTCTAGTCTGTCATTTTGTCGACTTTCCCTTGGCTGCACTGCTTCCAGTACATATATATGAATGGTAAAGATTTTTCCGTCCAATCAGACTTTACACGCTGTGTTGCCATGTCAAGTTTATTCTGCCTTGGGCCATCTGAATCAGCAGTGTCGTAAGACGTAGAAATAGGATTGATTTCTTCAACCAATCAGAGATCAAATTGGACGCTCAAGACCACCTTGCTGGCCCACAGTAGCATCCGTTTTTGGGGTTTTTTTCCATCTAATGATTGTTTGGTCAAAGTACTAAACGAAGCGCGCGACAAGCAAAAGAATAATCTCTGGTGAACTTGTATGGTGTTATTTTACCGATTTTGTTTCTAGATATGTTTTTATTCCCAATTGATCTGAATGATGTATGTGGCACAGTCGCGTGCTGTTACATTGCATAATTGTATCATTGATATGAACTAATAGGTGGATTAAATGAAGAAAGTATCCACTGAAGGCCTAGGTACCAAATGTATGGCCGGGAGATGAATTAATAAAAAAAGAGGAAAAAAAAAAAGACTGAGAATTGCATGGAAATGAATGAACCTGATGTTCTTACCCCTTCCCCATTTTCTCCACTTAAAGCTGCTGAGCCTCTACAACACCTTGAACCCAGAGGCATCTGCCTCACCCTGCTGTGTGCCCCAGGACCTGGAGCCTCTGACCATCCTCTACTACGTGGGCCGCTCGCCTAAAGTGGAGCAGCTGTCCAACATGGTGGTCAAGTCGTGCAAGTGCAGTTAGGAAGCCTCAGGGACTTCAGAGACACCTTCCCGCACTACTCAGGAGCGGTCCAGAGAGGTTTGGGGGAGCCTCCGCTGCCCCTTGTACTTCAGTCTTGTCCTAGCTCCGTCTCACTTTGGAAAAGCCTGCAGACATTGGCAGCATCTGGTCCAGTTTGACCGATGAGGGTGAACTCTCAAACCCAGCAGACCTCTTGATGACCATCAGCCCTTTATTTTTTTTTTTTAAACCATCTTTCTTACATTTTTACTTCATATTCCAGCATTTTTGAACAGCTCGTACCTCAGTGTATTCTCATCCTGTTTTTATCTAAAGAGGAATGGAACGAAAATTGTCTTGGAATGACCACTGCATTCTTAAGGACAAGAGAGTGTGGAAAAAAAAAAAAACGCCGGAGAGGAGAGCCTGAACTCAGCATGACAGGACACATAGGACACGTTTGGATGTCCGAGCTGGAAAGCGATGCTGTGCTACACTGTGTATTTAGGATTAAATGCCGTTAAATAAAAATGATTTTAGGAAAAAATGTTAAAAATGCTGGAAACCAACCTAGTCAAAGTCGTATTTCAATGGTGATATTAATACCTCTGCATTGCATCAGAATGGTGATTCCAGGGATTATTTCAGATGAAACTGAAGCCCTTCTGTTGTATGAGAGCCAGGCATGGATGTTTGGCCACATTTCCTTGATCGACTGTGCTTTTGTTTTTGTTTCTTTTTGGGGGGGCGGGGGAAAATGCTGGAAACCAACCTAGTCAAAGTCGTATTTCAATGGTGATGTTAATACCTCTGCATTGCATCAGAATGGTGATTCCAGGGATTATTTCAGATGAAACTGAAGCCCTTCTGTTGTATGAGAGCCAGGCATGGATGTTTGGCCACATTTCCTTGATCGACTGTGCTTTTGTTTTTGTTTCTTTTTGGGGGGG